CACACATATAGATATATATATATATATATATATATATATATATATACACAAATATGAAATAAATTGTGAAATAATTTTTTTTAATTTTTCTAATAAGAAATTGTATTTTTACACTTTTATCCTGTCATATAGCATTCACTTTAAGAAAGTCAAATTCAACACATTAGAACAAATAATGCACCAAGTTTTTTTCCACCCCCTTTTCTTCTCTTTCTAGATAACACTCGCTATTTGGAAAGGGAACGAGTCCAGGTCTCGAGATTATTGGAGCCATCCAGAAAACCTAAATGGTAAGTCAAGTGATAATTAAAGTTCTCTTCAGTATGGTGTTAATGCCCCGCACTGTATATCTACCCTTTCCTTGTTGGATTTTTTCGAGATGCATGTGAGTGGTTGAACAAGAAGGCTTAAACAAGTAGATATTTGAATCATGGGCTAGATAAAATACAAAAGTGAAACTTCTAGGAAATGAATTTGCCTTCTCTCTAAAATGAGGACAGTGCACTTTAAAAAAATAAAAAGTAATACTTATTATAATTACAAAAACTAATAATTGAATTTGTAATCAATTTTAAATTGTTATAAATAAATTTATTATAATTATTAAATGTTTATTTTCTAATTAACAAATATGCGTGCACTTTGTATCTAAAATATATATATCTTCCTTTTAGAAGATTCAAATCCACATCTAACAAAACTTAATAAAATTAGTCCCAACAAATAAAAGTAATTAAAAAGGGCAAGTTAAATGCTTTATTTTAATGACAAAAAGAATGCTTTTATAGAATGCAAGAACCTCAGATTGTAGATCCAGCATGCTAGAAAAGTCACACTCTTTTCCCTTTTATATTTTGTAAAAAGGGATAAAGATCTTACCCACCACTACATCATGTGCCCACAGTTTAAACAAAATAATAATGATAATAATAATAATAATGGAAAGAGAATTCCTGTCATTGTCCAACATGAGGAGAGCGTCACATGGATTCATATTACAAAAATATAATGCTATTGTAGTGTCATCTATTTGTTTCCTTCTCTTGTAATTTTATTCGATCCATGAAATGGCTGTTTCTCATAATAATAGTATCTTGATCTAAGTTATGGCGGTTTCTCACAATAATAATAATATCTTGAGCAACATGGAACCAGCTGACAGGATTTTTGGTGATGGGTGGTTATGACCCTTCATTGGGAGTAGCTGGCCTAATTGGAGAGTCTCAACCAGAGAGATTATCAGGTATCACAATCAGCTATTTGTCTATTCGTGTCAACAATTTGGCTGTAATCCGGGTATGGTATGGGACACAGCCATTATTCTTTGTGCATAAGGGTCAATCTTACACCAGCATCTACTTTTTCACATAATTTAACACTGAAAACGTTAAACACAGATCTTAAATGTAACTCTCAGGGGCTATGTCACCCCAACATGGTTTTTAGCGATCGAAGAATAATTGCCAAGAAGATTAACCAATTCTCGAGTTAATCAATTTTAGAATGTCACCTCACAGCCGCTAAAAATATTCTGCAAGACCAAAAGGAAAAGATAAGATAAATAGCCTTTTGTGGTAGGATCAAGCATCCCAATGTTTAGCTTCACTTGCCAGTTGCCACAACGCAACCACTCCTAACAGTGAAGCTCTTTAAACCCCCGACTGCGTTTCCTTTCATTCGTGGCGTGTAAAATAAAAATAACCGATCATAGAAACAAGTTGAGCAACAAGTTGATCAAATTCATCTTTCATTGATATACATGGTTTATATACAAGTTACAGTGTGGTGAAACAGACATACTCTCTTCAACCTCCAACAAGCTTTTGCTCACCGGGGTGACATCTTCCAAGGACTCAAAATTAGTAAAAATGTACAATTACAATTCCAAACAAAATCTAACATCTAATTCTTAGACATCAGTGTCACAAAATTTCCCGTCCATCCTGTTCTGAACAGCTTTCACTGCAGCAACTCTAGCAGCAGTGGCAGCCTTGCTCGCAGCGATGACTGCTTTGTTAACCTGGTCATCCACCCGTTTAAGGTTTATAGCACTCTCAGCTGTTTTCCTAGCAGCCTGCAATTTTAAACCCATCAAGAAGGGTATGAGAAACAAAACAAAGCAAAGCAAAGCAACATTTGTAAAGGGATTATAGCAAGAAGGCAAGTACCTGAACTGCTCGAAGAACCGCATCAGACAGTGGCGGTAGAGATTGCTTGAGGTTACCAGCATCCCATTCACCACATCTTCGGTCCCCATTTCGAAAAGTGTATGAGCCAATACCTTGCCTACGACCCTCGTGCCATGCTCCCTCATAACAGTGGCCGTTGGCAAAGTGGTAGACCCCAAATCCATGTATCTTGTCCCCAAAATACTCTCCAGCATATCTATCTCCATTTCTGCAGCAGAACAAGAACTAAAAACTAAATTTTTTGAATAACCACACCCCCAAAAGGGCAAAACCTCCTATTTATTGTCTCTATAGCCTCCCACGAAATAATACATCCTAATTAAAAGAAAGCAAATAAAATGTGGGACTTAAAGTTCTTAATAGATTTTTTTTACTAAACATTATTCTAACACAAATGAAATGAATTTGAGAGCAACAGGTGGCCCTTGATAGTTTTGCTTAAAGTTGTAGATAGATAAGCAAGATGAAAGCGGTGAACAGTGAAAAGAGAGCAGAAGCTCAAAAGTGGTAGTAGAATCGAAGAAATCAACAACCCTAATTCTAAAAATGAAGAAAATTGGGGTCTCTGAAGCAAGCAGAGAGATAAGAAATGGAATGCGAAAACTGACCTAAAATGGTAACATCCAAGACCGTGTTTGACGCCATACTTAAACTGACCAATATAACAGCTAGCATCGGAGCAAGTCTGAAGGCCGAAGCCATGGCTCTGGCCATTACACCACTCCCCGGAATAAGAATCCCCCGTGTAAAACCTATAAACCCCATAGCCATGCCTCAAACCCTGCCTATACTGACCCCTGTAGCGACTCCCCCGAGCCCAGCTCTCAATCCCGTAACCGTCGTATCTGCCATCCACCCAATCCCCCTCATACCTCCCATTCACGAAGTAATGGTACACCCCACTTCCGTTACTCCTCCCTTTATGAAACTCCCCCTCGTACAAATCCCCATTGCTGTAAAACTCCACCCCTTCCCTCACTATCTTCGCCTTCCGCCCCTCCCCCTCTCCGATGAACCACTGCACCGCCCGCGCCCCCTTCCCCGCCCCCTTCGAGAGCCCCAACCGCCGCACACTCTCCTCCCACGAATTCCTCAGCAACGAAAACGAGTGCCGGATAAGCCCCTTGTTCTTGGACGCAAAGTAAAGCGCCACGGCCACAAAAATCAAGGCTAGCAACAAATTCTCCGAAGCTGAGACCTCGACGTGGAAGAAGAAGAAGTAGAACAAGACGGAGCAGGCGCCGAGGAAAAACACGGCCAGAGTGGAATAGGAGGCGGACATGTGGGCCTGGGAATGGGCCTGGGCCTGGGCCAGGGCCCGGAGTCGGGGTCGGGGTTTCTTGCTCTTCTTGTCGTCCACATCGAGGAGCTTGTGTTTGTGTTGGTCTTCAGTGATGATGGAAGAGAGGCTGTGAATGGAGGATCGGATTGCGGGGGAAGAGCAGCTGAGGAGCGAGGAGTGGGTTCGGGTAAGCTTGCTCCCGCTCTTCTGGTGTTCCATTTGGCGCGCTTTTTCTTCTTCAGTCAGATCGAGTTTTCCGGTACCGGGATATTCCCGGCGGCGGCGACATCCGTTGAAAGCACCACACGCTACTCCAGTGCGCAACCAAAGCTTGTGTTTGAAAGAAAATAAAGTGAAGAGTTGTTGTTGGGACTTGGGAGGGTAAAAATGAAGGGAGCGTGGAGTGGGTGCCGGGTTTGGTGTATTTATGGGGCGTTCAGAGGGTGGGAGTTAGATTCAACGTTGCCCGTTCGATGTGGGACATTCTCCCCTTCTCTTTCTGGCCCTTGGATCACTTCGCCTCCCGCTCTTGACGGGTAGATATGCTCCTCCCATCGGCTTTCATTCGGCGTCCTGCCTTTTTCGCTTTACTGTGCCAGGCCGGCTTTTTTTTTTATATTATTTTTTTATTTTCCATCTGACTCGTTCGCCTCAGGTTAATTTTAGCCCTTTTTTTTCTTAAGGATCACTTCCCCTGCTTCACACTCTCTTTCAGTTACCATCTAATGTTCCACATAAAAATCTCAAGAATTCAGTCTTCGGTTTTGGGTTTAAAAGAATACTTATAGTAGTAGGCGAGGCTCCTTTATGCTTTATTTAAATCCTGATTAATTAATTAAAAGAATACTTATGTTAACCTATCGAGAGTAGAAGTGTACATCCAAGTATACCGGGTGTATTTAATTCTTAATGTTGGGTTGCTAATTTAGTCATCTTTTTTCTCATTCGGTTATTCCTAGCTAGCAAGGGAACGAGGAGAAAATAGCAAGTTGCTTTACTTATTCGTATCTACCCTTCTTTAGATCTTTATTATCATCAAACTTTTGCTTTCTTTTTCCGGAATTTTGCTTGATATACAAAATGGTGATTACGCCTTGGCACAAAAAATAAGTATCCGAGCGTACTGCTGAAATCTAAAGACATAAATGGATCTAATGCAAAAGAGATATATAAGGCAGATACCAACTTAAAATGTATTCAGATTTTGTGTATGGTTTCTTTTCTTGTGGACCACCATTGCATCTGTTACATCTATCAAACAGCAAAAATACTGACTATAAGAGATAAATACGTTATGATTAGTTTTTTTTAATGTAAAATAATTCCTAAGATTGATATTTTGTTGGATTTATATTCTTTAGTCTTAGATGATCGTCCTTAAATATAAATCTTAAAGAGTATTGATCTAGTAAGGTAATTAGTTTCACGGAACATCGGTCTTAGAACTACACTGTAAAAGTTAATAAAAATAACTTTTAAGTATCTGATCTTCAATTTCATCCCTTGAATTTTTTGCCAATACATCCAATAATGGTAGAGAAATTAAATACCGGGGTCCACATTAGTGTCACATATGTGTATATACTATATACCTGATGGTTATGCAAGCAGTATATAATTCTACTTTGGATCAAATCCTCTATTTTGAAATTCGAACTAAATTTCTCTTTTCTATTGTAGTCTTAAACGGAGGTAAAGGTAGAAAGTTGTGGTTGAAGTTCAGGGTGCATTGAACATGACTAATTATTGTAATCCGTATGGTTGGCTAGTTGTTTTACTCCTTCTTGTCCACATTGTGAGTTCATTGTAGGCTTCCACATCAGTGATGAAGTTAGTCTTGAGAATTCTGGTGTAGTCAAATACGAGTGAGTAAAGTTTACATTTGAAAGGAATGGGAAGATTTATAAATTAAATGTCTTAAAATTTGGGGTCAACATATAGATAATATCAGATTCATTGGTGTGATTAATTCATTCGATGTAGTTACTTGACTTGTTGAGCCATCCGCGTTCATAACAAGTTGCATCCAAGAGGATGGTTCGAATGATGGACACACAAGCGACTGATGAAGCCATGTGGAAGGCCCTTGTGAATGAAGTATGTGTGCATGTTGAACCCTTGTCAACGCTATCAAATGGTAATTGAAAAACTTCCTCTCTATATTTGTGTATAGAAGACTCTAATGAGGCACAATTAAGCATTTCAGTTAGAATAAAAGTTTCATACGGAAAAGAAATTAATTATGTATAAGAGAGAAAAAAAAAATTGGAGATCCCTTTAATCAGAAAAATAAAAAATATAGTTGTACATTTATAATATTAGTTATACTTGTCTTTATTGATAATTTTTATTCAATAGAAACTAATGTGTTATCATCTAAACAAACACTAGTAAAGGATATTTTTGTTGATATAACGAGACTGAAATTCAATTAATTAAAAATATAGAAATTAAACCATGAAAATTCAACAGCATGTTATATTTTTATGCCAACTAAGAAAGGATGTGTACCAGCATAAATCATGTACAAATGATAAGATAAAGTCGGATTATTTTCGAAAATGACAACATGGAAGTGTAATGACAGGGAGAAAATAATTTAGTTGTAATGAAGGCATATAATAATACTAGTACTTTTTTTAATATATTTTTTTGTAAATTAATAAATAACCCATGTGAAGCCACACATTCATGAGGTAACTGATTATTGGTGAAATACATGAAAATCCAATTACAATGTTATTCTTTTAATGCCATCAATGGCACGAGGAAAGGATAAATGAAACAATAAATTTGTGGCTGTAAAGGAGTGCAATAATACCGTGATACAAACTTGTAGGTTGTAACGATCAAATATGCTTATCCTGTCTTCCGTTACATAGTACAAATAATTCACACTTGATTCATATGTGAGCCACGTATTGTCTTGTCTTGCACAAGTTGAGCTGCGCCTAGAGATGAAATTGCATCACATTTTAACAATTTTATTTAGCTACCTAGCCCGACAACATTGTTTACATAGTGCCTTGCTTACTCTAGAAATATGGTACCACTTTATTTCTCCCTAGCATGCCAGGGCGATATATCCCTAACTTGAGTCCCCTTCTGTCTTTGACCAGTAACAAGTAACAAACTATGCTTCTTGGACATTACATCTTAAATTATACTTTCTCACTCCTTTTTTTATTCATAGTTTTTGTTAGAATTTATCATTTTCTTCATTATCATTTTATTAAAATCAATAACTTATTAATTTTTTTTCTCATTTTTACCTTTGATAATTAATATATGTTTACTGAACAATGTGTCTATTTATTTCTAATGTTTATTTATTTTTTCTCTAACCACTTATGTGAAGTTAATGTTGTATTTAAAAAGATATGTTTCTAATGAAATATTATAAAAATAATAAATAATAAAATAAGAAAGTAAGTAATAAATATTTTTAAAAATTAAAATTTTAATTATTTTCTTAAGTCTCGTGCAAAACCTTAAACAATTATGAATAAAAAACGGAAGGAGTAATTTTTCACGTTACAACAAATAATAGTCGATATAATCGAGAGCATCAATATGCTGGGATAAATAAGATGGAGAGAGCATACGATATAATTACCCGATAGTCGTCGAATTATAGAACCATTCATCCTACAAAGACAACTCACACTTGGACGAGGAGGAGCCCAAGTGTTTATGAGTGATGATTGATGAGTCAAATCCAAAGGATTATGATCTTGTCATTGTCTCTGTTGATACATTGGTTGCATTCCTGTATCTTCCGTGTTTATATAATATAGCCTTCTCAAATAATAGCAGTATTATTGATGTAAACAAACATTAAACTCTTATTCACTGTCCTTTGCTTAGTATACACAATTCTCCCTAACAATGATTCATCGCTATGTCTGTTTTTTCTCCAATGTAATCCTAATAGCTGACAATTGTTCTTCAGAAAATACAGTTTTTTCACCCTCTAGAAAGCTCATTTTATTAACTTAGACAACATACATAATATGATTTATTATTTTTGTTGGACCAATTTTTCTTTAGCCTGAATATTCACCACCGACCTCTTAGATTTCTTTATTTTTATTTGCTGTAATCGATATTTGAGCCTATTCAAAGTTAAATTGGTTGGGTTTGAATTTTAGAGGCTTAATGCCTGCCTGAAAAACTCATAAGAAACAGAGTGAGAATTAGTAAAATAAAAACAAAAGAAATCTACCCGCCTAATATTCCGAATCTTAGAGGGCGTAATTAAGGGGTCATATGCCGTTTTATTATTGATCCCCTGCATCCAAACGAAAGAAAGAAAAGGCTAGAGAACCAGGGGATATAAGGTTCAGCAAGAACGTGATCATGGTTCATGGAAATAAAACTCATAAATGTAAAAGTTACATATCTGAATGGCATCACTTACTAGCTGATAGGGCATGATTTCTGGTCATTAAACGATCGATGTCAGGGAAGAAAAAAAAAATAGACAGATAAGAAATTGGTAGTTACTAAAGACTGCCCGGCATCCAATTCAATGAACCAGAAGTTATTAAAATCCTACATTCGGGCTTTCTACAATGGTAAATATGTCTTCAATCCAATGCATATCATGACTTGATAATGCATTGGGATCATTTTCTAAGCTTCTCTTTCATCCTCTCAACAGCAGACCTAATAGTATCCTCATCCTTGCAGAAGGTAAATCTGACTAGATTCTTTCCCTCTTCAGGATTCAAGTAAAATACACTGGTAGGGATTGCCACCACTCCCACTTCTTTAACAAGATATTCACAAAATGCAACATCATTTTCCAGTCCAAAAGGGGTGTGATCTACAACCACAAAGTAGGTTCCACTGGATGGGAATACCTTGAAGCCGACAGCATTCAATCCTTCAACCAAGATAGCTCTCTTTGCCATATAATCCCTCTTCAGCTCTGCATAGTAAGAGTCTGGGGCTCTAAGAGCAGCTGCAGCAGCACACTGAAAAGGATGGGAGGTTGCGAAAGTAAGGTAAGCGTGTGCCTGTCGCACTCCCCATGTTAAGTGTGGGGGTGCTATGGCCCAACCAATCTTCCATCCTGTCAAGGAGAATGTCTTCCCCAAGGAATTCATTGTCACGGTCCTTTCGTACATTCCAGGCAAAGAAGCCATGGAAATGTGCTCCATATCAAATGCCAACTTATCATAAACTTCATCAGTGAAAACTAGAACATCATTCTCAATGCAAAGAGATGCAATGGCATTGAGCTCCTCTCGAGTGAACATCTTTCCAGTAGGGTTGTGAGGGGTATTTATAAGAATGGCACGGGTATTCTTTGAGATAGCAGACTTCAGCTCTTCAAGAGGAACAGCAAAATCTGGAGGGCGCAAAGTGACGCCTTTTACTTTTGCACCAGCCATGGACAAAGTGGCCTCATAAGAATCATAAAAAGGAGCAAAGAGGATAACCTCATCACCAGGATTTATTAATCCTAATATAGTTGCAGCAATTGCTTCTGTGCATCCAGATGTAACAGTAACTTCCTTTTCAGGGTCTACCACTAGTCCAGTATCTTTCTTAAATCTGTCAGCAATGGCAAGGTTCAGTTCTGGAATTCCATAACCCCGGGCATACTGATTTCTCCCATCCCTGATTGCCTGAATCGCCACTTCCTTTACAAATTCTGGACCATCAAAGTTGGGAAAGCCTTGACCAAGGTTTATGGCTCCATGCTTGATGGCAAGCAAGCTCATTTGTGTGAAGATTGTTGTCTGAAACTTCTCTAAGCGCTTCGCAATCTGACAAACAAATGACAATCAGCAAGAATCAAAGTAAACATATGGCTCAACTATGAACTATAAACTATAAACTTGTCGTAAATTCCCATGTCTATTTCCTTTCTTTCGACAATATTTTCGTATGTCATATCCCTGGATTCAGGCATTAGCCATTCAGAAATTCAAAACCATAAGATGAAGAACGGCCAAGCAAACAAGCTCAATCAACTTAAACACAATCAAGATCTTAGTCATATGGTCTTCATTCAGCAGTTATAAATGTGTTGAATGTGCAAGGCGTGGATTGAACATTGAAGTGAATCCATTTATTTCCCTCTACAACCCCAAAACGCTCCGCTTTGTAGGAGGCAAGATATGATGATCTAAGCAAGGTTTCAACTTCACACACGAAACAGGCTAACATCCCCAAATGAATTGAAACTAAATAGCAGTAAATATGAAAGAAGAGTAAATAGTAACGCAATTAACATTGTGACATAATGAAAGCGAAAAGTATTTTGAGGTGAGATCTAAAGATGCAGAATAATAAGGGGTGAACCTGCAAAGGTTGATGCGCTTTGTGGGTGACGGCGTCGTTTTGAGTGGAAACAGTAGACATAGTGGCGGTAATGGAAGATGCGAAGTTCGGGGTTGGAGGGAAAGGGAAAGATGTAACCTTGGGCGTTATCTTTCTAATGGAACTAGAATTAGATAAAACGGAGATCTAGATCGGA